ACACTAAGGAACGTGGTTCATTGTAAAACTCCATACTCGCTTGAGAGGTTTCTTGTTATGGGATTTGTAATGAAAATTAATGGTTCGGAAAAACTATTTACTGGTACATTATTAATGTAAAAAAAAACGACTTTAATATCTTGAGGGTTTGAAACAATTACTTGAGGATTTGAGAAATCTATTTTATGATATGGACGAAATTGGCATGATTAACTCTCCGGTAATGGAAAACACCAATAACAAATCAAATCGATCTGAAGACACCGATACGCTTACCTACTACGACGTTGAATTCTAATATGTTCAACGAAATGTGATCATTTTGAATGTAACATGACTACCCCATTATGGATTATAGTCGTGAGCATATGCTTAACAAATACTTATTAATAGATTACGACGAGTACTTATAAAAAAAATATTAGACGCGTATCAAATAAAACAAACCAACTTACATAATATGAGTATAAGCAGTTTTGGTCGTATATTTTTATTGGTTGCATTATGTAAGACGCCTTGCATCAGCTTTGGCGCGCTTTTGTTAACTTGATACAGTTTAATGTTGGTAGTACTATAATAAAAAAAGAAAAAACTAAACCAAAAAGTTTACGACGCTGACGAAGTAAGAATATAAATGTCACAGCTCCTTTTCATTCTAGGATGTTGTAAGTGAGGAATTATTCTCTTCTTCATTTCAGCCATTATCCCTTCACTGCTTACACTACATAGGCCTCCCCCATAGACTGTGTAAGGAACGGTCCTGAGTCACCTGCATCCACCCTGTGTACTACGTTTAAGGAGTCATTCCATCAAGTGGAGGTTTCGTCCTACCCTGCGTTTGCCTGAATGTAGTCGCCACTCTAGAATATATATATATATATATATATATATATATATATATATATATATATATATATATATATATATATATATATATATATACATATGCCTCTTCGGTGTATACATTAAAAAAAAATGTGTTAAGTCCGCCATATGTTCACTTACTAATATAATTGTGCATTGAAGTTTGATTAAATAAAATTAATGTGAAGTATCGAGTGTAAGGGAACAATTGGGCAATCGACGTGCAGAAAACATTATTGCATATCATTTCACATGTCATAATGCAACTGTCCACTGCAACTGGTGCGACCAAGTTGTTTAGATGTTGCTCAACTCTGTACTAATGATATACCTGTGAAGGGACATGGAATTGTGCCCTATGTACTCGTAAATTGGAATATAAACAATTTCAATTCATAATTCCAAAAGTTAATAAGGAAAATATAGAATTCCCTCAGATAGATTACTAGTTCACTTTTGTTTACTAAATTATGTATAGCTACTAGTGGTCGCGTAGTGGTCAAAATTCGACCATAACATATTATATTGTAATAAATGAATTTGTTATAGTCATGTTTGACATTCACAAAAACTAAAGACAAATAATATTAAAGACAAACAGTGTTAATCTATTCTCAATTTGACCACAGACTTTAACAATAAACAAAAGAGTATATATGCGTGTATGTGTCAAATATATGGTAGTGTGTTTTTTTTTATACGACTTAGAATGGCAAACAAGCTGACGGGCCACCTGATGGAAAGTGGTAACCGTCGCCTATAGACATGAGCAGTATCATGGACATAACAGAGTACACTGTTTTGCCCATGATACCCCCCGTGCGTTGCCATTCCTGAGGACACAGGTGTTATTCCTCTGTACGCTGTAAATTCACGCCATATCCCACCCTTCAAACCGAAACACAGCCAAGCAACCACAACTGCTTTACGGTTGAAACACAAATGGGACAGAGGTACCCAAACAAACGACTTTTGTACAAAATCTCTCTCTGGTCTGTAAATGGTTATCTATTTCGAAAATCCACACGTACAAAGTCGCAGGTAAAAGCTAGTCGTTGTTATAAAAACAGACCGATTTCGATGTGTAGGAAGCTATACAGATATTAAGCGACCTCTTAAAATTACTACTTAATTGTAAAATTGGGGCCAGTCGCATTTTATTGCAATGTTTAAAGCTCGGCCACCGCTCACGTCGTTAGTATTTCGATCAGTTATTTCATCACCGCTCCTACCTTCACTCATAACTAGTTTAATCATGACTTAATAATAGTAAGTTATAAAGTAATGATTCATATTTACACCTCATGAGGGGAAACTGATAAAATGATTTCGTCCATGGCCTGTTGGCTTGGTATATTTGTATACATGTTATAGATGCGGTAGCGAAAATTTAATATGCCAATTTTATCCTTCAAGCTGGAGGGAAGGGGGAAGGGATTGTAAGTAATTGAAATTAACAACTCTAATGTTAGCAAAATACCCTATTTTTTTAATGGGTGATAATGGTATGGTAGCCTCGTCTGCGCTATCGGTATACAATAGCCCATCCTGACGAATTCAACTAGAATTAGCCATGATGGTTTCCATGGGGGAACCACGTGGAGGTCGACCTGACAGGGTATATTGCTAGTGATGGGGCTATTTGACCCCATTACTAACAATCCCTTTCTCCTCCCAATATACCCTATTACATCGATCTCCACCTCCACGCGATTCCCCCAAGTCACCGTCGTGCTTAATTCTTGTGGACTTCATCTCGATGGGCTAACTGACTTGTCTTTTCATTCTCACCTATCATCTCTTACTGATGCCCCGCCAGCGTATACCGTTAGCGCAAGCGGGGTCATTATTCCATTATCTTTATTACTGAATTTACTTATTGTTACATGTTGATATTCTCGTGCGAAAAAAGGGCGCCTGGTCTAAATATAATGGCAATTCTATCTTACTGCGTATGACTTTTTTTTTTCAAAATAATACAGATTTATTTTAAAACAACAGTCAGAAATAGGGACCGAAATTTTTTAATTATATTTAAAATTAGATTTTTTTATACAACATAGAATGACAAATAAAATGACGGCCTACCTGAAGGAAAGTGATAACCGTCGCCTATAGACATGAGCAGTACCATGGGCATAACAGAGTATACTGTTTCGTCCACGATACCCTCCATGCGTTGCCATTCGTGAGGACTCAGGTATTATTCCTCTGTACCCTGTAAATTCACTGCCATATCTCACCCTTCAAACCGAAATAATAAATAAATATAAAATAATAACAAATAATTTAAGATTACATTTAAAAATAATAAATGTAATTAAAATAAAAGTAGTATGCGACTAAAACGGAAATAAATCCAATTGACTTCATTAAGCCTTAATTTTCAATTAATAATTAAGATATTTCAAATTATAATAAAGAATATTTCACGTATCCAATATAAGAATTAATCATTGTCAAAGATATTGTCATAGAATTGGTAGCAATATCGCGTAACATATTTTTTTTTTTAATAACATCGTTGCGTATCTTATCTTTTATTATTAAAATTTAATGTGAATTTATTTAAAGTTGTTATTTTATTTATAACGTTATTGAGTCAAACAATACGTTTTAAATACTTTTTCTTCGTTGTGGATGAGGTGCCTGTCGTTAAAAGTTCAGCAAATTTATTTTCTCTGTTATGTCCATGGTACTGCTCATGTCTATAGGCGACGGTTACCACTTTCCATCAGGTGGGCCGTCAGCGTGTTTGCCATTCTAAGTTGTATTAAAAAAAATTGTACCTATACTAATGGGTGACAAAATATCATAATGATTACCATTAGCGTATTTATGATTATTTTCCAGGGGGGAGGGCGGAGGCAGCTAGATTGATGCGCACATGTACTCTCAGACACGTCTTTGCGTAGATTTCCTATGATGAGGTGAGCATCAGTCGATTATAGGGTGGGAACGGTCCGCCCGGTCCCCTCTCTAAATACGTTTATGACGATATAAATAGCAACTTTAATCATAGCAAAACACATCAGATAATGACAAGATATTATTATTACGCTGAAAATATTCGTATACAAAAGAGAGATTCATTTAGGAAAAGATTTTGCTTCGCAAATAAGCAGGTTTTCGATCCGTATAGAAAAAATGCTACTATCATCATAAAATTATTATGGATTCAACATGTATACTCTGTTTCAATAAACTTGATGAAAATAAAAACAAATGATTCGGTCTGCTGGTCGAAAAATAAACGAAAAATCGATCGCTCAACATTTAGTCTCTTCTCTTCTTCGTTAACGAAATGCTTTCTTACTGTACTAGGTTGACTGGAAGAGATCTCTGTCAGAGATAAGTCCACCCTTGCTCACAATATTTATAAATTGATTATTGTATATGTAACTTATACCCATTTAATTATTCGAAAAAGATGTCATGTTTCAGTCAGTTTTGATCGCGATCCTGAAATTATTCTTTTATTCTCTATTGTACACAAATATAACGTTAAGAATAATTAATTTCAAACGTAGTGTACAAAGACGAGCTTATCTCTAATAAGAGATTTCTTCCAGCAAACCTTTTCATGTCAATTAATTTAATATTTAAAAATAAAAAGAACGAAAGATATATATATATATATATATATATATATATATATATATATATATATATATATATATATATATATATATACACACAATTTTATATATTATTTACTTCAATGTTTACAGGGGTATTATTCTTTGTATATACTTGTCTTACGAATATGTTTATGGAATGTACACAAATCTTTCGTTCTTTTTATTTTTAAATATTAAATTAATTGACATGAAAAGGTTTGCTGGAAGAAATCTCTTATTAGAGATAAGCTCGTCTTTGTACACTACGTTTGAAATTAATTATTCTTAACGTTATATTTGTGTACAATAGAGAATAAAAGAATAATTTTAGGATCGCGATCATAACTGTCTGAAACATGACATCTTTTTCGAATAATTAAATGGGATATAACCATAAATAGTTACAATGTAACTAAACTGACAAACTAAACATTGCCACTGTTATAAAATTGCCGTTAACTCTAATTAAATCAGTCAAAAAATTTGAATACAATAGAAATCGATCTTTGCGCTATAGAATTAATTCAGATTAAATATGTCGGTTCAAATGAATGCGGGCCCTGACTAGCCGAAATCGTTTCTGTGGAAACTGTGCAGTGGTTTTATTATATTTTAATAACTTCAAAATGACTATTGGGGTATATGAAGACATATATAATCCAGGTACTCTAATACATTTTTTTATTTACTTATAAAATTGTATCAATTCAGTATTAATTTTATCAGCAGATTGACTTTCAATACCATCGAATGGAGATTATATTTGTTATGTGATAGGGATATCCTTACAAAGACATCATCATCATCATCATCTCAGTCATCACCAGTCTACTGTTGAACATAGACCTCCCTTATCATAGGACTTATAAGTCATAAGGAACGGTCCTGAGCCACCTGCATCCACTGACTTCGTGTAAGGCATTTGAGGTCGTCACTCCATTTAATGGGGAGTTGGCCTACACTGCGTTTGCTCGTATGGGGTAGCCACTCAGGAACTTTTATATAATATAATATATATGTCAGTATATTCGTTATGTGTTTTTCTTGTGTATAGTGTGTACGTATAATTATTTTAGTATATTACAATTATTATGTTATATCTTTTCATCTCCATTGCAATTGATACGCTGTTTTTACCTAGTAATAGCAGTTGATAGAGAATGCAATTTTTTTAAAGCTCGCCATTTGTACAAAGTTTTATTGTGCAATAAAGAATAAATAAATATACAAAAGTTGTTTGTTATATCACATTCCTGCCACGAAATCGCGTGCTTGCATAGTTCTTTCGGTTTAAAGGAATCACAACGTCTTATCCCTTCGGTACCACGGATGCCATGAAGTGTTTCGTGAGTCTATAGGTGACAGTTACCATTTTTCACTATTTGACCCATCAGCTTATCACTACATAAAAAATCTAATCACAAATTTTATAGATATAATAGATAAATTCATTAGACTATCAAATCGATAAGAAATAATTTCAGTACAATTTCCAAGACTTTGCTAATAATTTAAAATTTCTTTCATATTTCAGATTCGATCCAAGGATGGCCCTTGTCACGGACATTACCGGGCCTTTCCATTGTCCTGATTTTATATCTAGTTCTAGTAAAAATAATTTTACCTGCATTTATGAAGGGCAAGCCAGCGTATGAGTTGAAAAACACATTGAAGTTGTACAATGCATTTCAGGTCGCATATTCTGCGTACTTAGTGTTTATTGTAAGTAACATTGATTGTTTATAATCTAATCATCATCATCATCATCATCATAAACCGCCATAAACTGCCGTAAGGAACAGTCTTGAGCCACTTGCAACTACTAATTCTCTACAATGCATTTAAGGTCGTCACTCCATCTAGTGGGAGAAAGGGGAGTCGTCCTACACAGTGTTTAACAGGATCGCTACTCGAGAACCTTTCTTCCCTATTGGCTATTGGTTCTTTGAACTATGTGATCAGCCTATTGCCATTTCAACTTACTTATCCTTCAGGGTATGTCGGTCACTTTGGTTCTTTTGCGGAAATCCTCATTTAGGATTCTATCACGCAATGAAAACTACGAACATAGTTCCCCCATTGCTCTGCAAGTAATTTCGAGACTTTGTACAAAAGTCGATTGCTTGGATACCTCTGTCTCATTTGTGTTTCTATCGTGAAACAGTTGTGTCTGCATGGCTGTGTTTCGGTTTGAAGGGTGGAATATGGCGTGAATTTACTGGGTAAAGGAAGGAGTGGCTCATTCTATGCCGGGACCACATGGCTATTGATATAAATTAGTATATATATATAAATATTTTTATCAGAGGGAGACTTTGTATAAAAGTCATTTGTATGGGTACCTCTATCCCATTCGTGTTCCAACAGTAAAGCAGTTGTGTTTGCATGGCTGTGTTTCGGTTTGGAGGGTAGGCTATGGCGTGAATTTACAGGGTACAGAAAAATAACACTTGAGTCCTCAGGAATGGCAACGCATGGGGGGTATCATGGGTGAAACAGTATACTCTGTTATGTCCATGATACTGCTCACGTCTATAGGCGACGGTTACCACTTCCCATCAGGTGGACCGTCAGCTTGTTTGCCATTCTAAGTTGTATAAAAAAAAAAATTATTGTTGTTATTATTTATACAGTTTATTACTTACATACTTTTTGTTATTACAGTACACAAGATATGCCCTTAGACACGGAGTAATTGTAACGAATTGTCCTCAAGGACAAGAATTGCAAAAGGTAAGTTACGGTTCCTAGACTATATACTATGTTAGACACTATTTCTAATAATTTTATTATAGATACAGATTATTTATTCATAATTTATAAAACTTACTACCGTACAACCCGTCATAAACTAAAATTTCATCCCAACCATCTGGACGAGTGGTGGTCTTCCATCGTGCGTTTTTCAAAGCACTTTCTTCCACGCACAACTACTCTGAAATCAACTTCCAGCAGTAGTATTTCCGAACCGATACGACATCATAACCTTTAAGAAAAGAGCATATTCCTTTTTAAAAGGCCGGCAGCACATCTGCAATGCCGTTGGTGTTGTGGGTGATCATGGGCGGAGGTAGTTACTTACCATCAGGAGAGCTGCGTACTCGTTTGTTCCGTGTTGTAAAAAAAGTCCATTTTCAATGAATTATGTCATTCCCTTTGCAAGTCATATTTTATTTTAATTTCGAGAACATATCGTTTTCTATATAATAATAGTAATGTTTAAAATATAATATTAATTTATAACAATAATAATAATAAATTTTACGTCACTGCAAATTGCTATTACATTAATAAAATTTAGTATTAAAGATTATTTATATTTTAAGATTTCTTCAACCCTATAGAAGCCTTTCTCGATAAGCCAATCTTACAGTTTCTCTTTAAATGAATTGTTCCAATAGAGTTTGTATCGCTAACTAGTTATGCTTGTTTGACTGTTTACGTAACGTTTTGGTTTTCAAGAATGGCAATACATGAGGGATGCAATGGGTATCACAGTATATTCTCTAAGGCGCTGTTCATGTTTACAGGTGACTGTCACGCTATCAGGTAGTCCGTCAATTCCTTTGCAATTCTGTGTTGAACATCGAATCAGCATTATAAATGTTTAATGCCAATATAGAATAGAAATAATATTTAATCAAATGTACTTGATTACAAGCTCTCAACTAGATTCTAAATATTGTTATTTGTTGAGAACATGGCCATAGCTAGAAGGGAGTATTGAGTGGCAATGCCTTACCTTAAAAGTCTCAATGCCCTACCTTAAAATTAAAGTATTCAAAAAAATGAGACAGATTCGCTTTTTCGAAGTCACAAAAAATGATTTTGCTCTACCTTAAACTTGAATTTAACTACGGCCCTGGTCGAGAAGAATCTACAAGAAACTCAACAGTTGCTCTTTATATTTTTACATTCCAGGTGATCGAAGAAATCTATCCATATTTCATAGCCAAACATCTGGATCTTTTGGACACAGTGTTCTTCATACTCCGCAAAAAGGATAACCAGGCCACGTTTCTCCATGTTTACCACCATACGGCTATGGTGACATGGACGTGGTTGCATTACGTTCACTATCCCACAGATAATTTTGTCGTGGTGGGTTTGTTGAACAGCTTTGTGCATGTACTCATGTACGCCTATTACGGAATATCTTCGCTGGGACCTGAATTCGCCAAATACATTTGGTGGAAGAAGCATCTGACTAAAATCCAGCTAGTAAGTATATCTACGTGTAACTACATGTAACTACTTGTATACACGTAGTATATCTACATGTAGTAGAGGGCGCTGGTGTATCTCGTATCTCAGATAATGTTCTAATATCCAATATTTTTCTTCCTTATGATGTTTTAGAGTAGATAGAGTAGATAAATGAGTGTACTTTTACCTTTTTTACCTTTACCTTTATATATTCTAGTCTAGTCTATAGATGACAACGATTTTTTTCATCACGGTGTTTTTTTTAAAAGTTGTCTAGAAAATGTTGTTTAAGTTATTTTTTATTATGGAAGGGATTGTTTTCGGTCTCACCTGATGTAAAGAGGTAATGTAGTCTAGGATAGAGCTTACCCGCAAATAGCTTTAGTTTTATATGCCCTTTAAAACTAAATGTATCTATTTTTTTTTTCAGGTCCAATTCATTTTAGTAATACTAAATTTGTATTACCAACAGAAACTGTCGCCGTGTCCTATTCCGTGGTACTTCCAATATTACTGCACAGCCACCATTAGTTGTTTCTTTGTTTTATTTATGAAATTCTACATCAACAGTTACAATAAACAGAAGAAAATATCCGTTAATTCAAAAATTAATTAATATGAATAAATGATAATCAACGAGAAATGAATTGAGTTTGTATACGAAATATATAAAATAAAAAAAATATATATATAAAATAAATAAAGTGATAATGATTTATGCTAATATAATATGCATTGTTAAATAAATTATATAACGTTGGGTTAAAAGTCTCTAATTAAAAAAAGATTAAAAAAAAATTTTACTATAATATCTTTCAGATAATAAAAATACGGTTATATGTGATAAATTATTAAGTCGAGCTTTTCACTAGGACTACAGCATGGAGTTCTTCAAGAAGTGTACATTAAGGTTTTTTCAGCAACGCATACATGACACCCCTAGTGTTGCAGGCGTACATAGGCTACAGTGATTGTTTACCATCAGACGGGGGTTTGCCACCTTTGTGGTATAAAAAACTTATCACTAAATGTTTTTCTTTTATGGATTTATTAAAATGATTCAGTTTCATAAGTGCCATTCTTAATATCATATACTCTCCCCTTCGCGATGTATCGATATAATAAAAAAATAAATTAATTTATTATATATATATATACACATATATATATATATATATATATATATATATATATATATATATATATATATATATATATATATATTATACAACTTACAATGGCAAACAAGCTGGAACAAGTCATGCTCACTTCAGTGCCGAGATTGGTGGCGGCATGGTGGGCCGGGCCGTTGGGATATATATCTACGTTGCAGTCAAAACTCTTAACCAGTCAAAAGTACTTTTGACCGTATGCTTTAGTCAATAATACTTTTGACTGAAATAACAATTAAAAATGCCTAACCTAACCGCAAAATTTGCAGTCAAAAGTACTAATACCAATAATTTGTAGTAAAAACCACTTTTGACCAACATGTTCAATCAAAAGTACTTTTGACTGATTTTGCTAGTCAATAGTACTTTTGTCTGGTTAAGAGTATTGACTTCAACATCTATAATATGATTTAACCCATGAAATACATCTCTAAAATAAATTTATAAAAATAAATTGAGTTTTATTGAGGGAGTCCGAATGAAACAAAAAAAAAAAAAACAAAAGCATTCGAGATCCATTTTTTTTTGACAATTGCTTACTTACTTTACTGATAAAAACTAAAATTTTCTATAAACCGTTTTCTCATTTTTTTTATGAAATTGGGAATTTTAATTCTTTAGTACAAAATAGACAACAGAACAAAACAATTCAATAGCCAAAATAGTTTTACAAGAGGGTCTACATTTTTAGGAATAAGGGATTAAAATGGAAAATTGGCAAATGATTACTATTTTAGTATTGTTATACTAGATGGCGTTGATTGAACAAAAATTTGTTTAGAGAAAAGAGGGATAGACTCATAGAAAACTAATTTACAAAAAAAATTTAATAATAATATATATTTAATCTGATATTAAAGACCTGACCCTAATATTAAAGATTGCGGCCACTATTAATTATACAGGCACAGAAAAAAAAATATTATCCGTCTTGAAGCGGATGGACTCCATTATTTCTAGATTTTTCTGATCGCCAAATAGAATATATTCATAAAAAATAATTTAATTTCTCATGCCCCATTTATTCACTACCATTTCTTTACAAACCTCATGTAGGTTAAAATTTTATATTTCGTGCAAAATTCAGATGGATAGATCTGTTTGAGTTTCTGATATTACGCTCTATTATCTGGAGATAGCAAATGTCAAAAAACATTCTGGATTGAAGTATAATATATTGATTTATTTAGAATCTTAAGTAAGTGGTCGGAAAGATTTCACAAAGAGAAATTAAGAAAGAAGGCTTCAAAAAAAAAAAAAAAAATATATATATATATACATATATATATATATATATATATATATATATATATATATATATATATATATATATATATATATATATATATATATATATATATATATATATATACATTCCCGTAATTATTCACGTCCCCTAACACTGTAGCGCTGTATTAGTTAGTAGCAGGTAATTGCTTAGTAATCAGTTCCTTCAATGGACGTAGAATCATTCATCCGTAGGTTTCGCATACAGGTTGCGCTTACGCAGGCTCCACTGCACTACACCTGTACAATAATCAGTCACGACCCGAACGCACGGCAGAGTAGACGTGTCGTAATCGCTCTTAACTTTATACTGGCCGGTATTTAACGTGTATGTTGAAATATAGATTTATATACAAAATCCATCACCCAGTATAAAAGGTCAGTGGTAGAATAATTTATTTATTATATTTTATACATAAAAATATATTAATGTTAAGTTATGATGTATGAAGATCGGTAACCCAGTTTTGCAACCATTTGTGTTGTGTGTTAGAAAATTAAGCCTAGCTTGACAATAATGTTTCTTGGAGCGATGGTGTAAGATTTTTTTTTTGGTAAAAACGCTTACTATAAATTTAAGTACCTAGTTTTATAATTAATACAGAATATTAATCATTATTTGCAAAAAATATATTTAAATTAATATATTAGATATAAATTGTTTCTTCCGAAATATTATAATAGTAAACCTAGTATAGATACAAACAATTACCATAATTAATCACAGTGATAAAACAAGGGGCGGCTTTATCGCCAAAAGCGATCTCTTCCAGACAACGTTTGGAAGGAACAGGAAAGATTGTTTTTAATAAATAAACTTGTAACCTACTCAAATGATTTTAAAAATTTTTTCATCCATAGAAAAATATATTATCAAGCTGTAACATAGGTTTCATATTATGTTCGAAAAAAAAAATTATCAAGTCGTGCGAAGCTTCGCACGAGTTGATAATTATTTTCTTACCTTACCTACTAGAGATCAGGCCCAGCTGGGTCTGATCGCTAGTAGGTAATAAATAAACTAAACAGAATATTTTAACATCAAGAGAAAACTTTAAATTAAGCCATGTAGATCCCAGCATAGGGTAGGCCACCCCTTTTTTCTCCGTGGGTGTAGTAAGAGGCGACTAAGGGAGTTTATAGTCAAAGGATGGGCAGCAGCGTCCCTCTTAAAATATTACCAAAAGTCAAACTGCGGTTGACAACTCGCTAGCTGAGCATGGCAACTATTGGCAAAGCCCCCATTATGGGGGAAGAGTTTCCATTATGGGGGAAGAGTCCCCATTATGGGGGAAGAGTCCCCATTATGGGGGAAGAGCCCCCATTATGTTCAGCAGTGGACAGTTAACGGTTGATATCCAAACAAGAGAAAATTACTCTTAAGTATACTATTTTTAAGTATATTATTCATTAATAGATGGTACAATTTATTTTCTATATTCATAATAATTTTAAAACTATAATAAACTTATTAGCATGGCTTGCATTTATGTAAATAAAAAAAAAACACATCAAAGTCATAAAATGCTTCAATTGTTAAAATAGGTTTATAACAGGTTTGACGGTTTTGGGGATTATGAGTAAAAGTCTTTAATTTAATTATATTATTGTCCACTGCTGGACATACGTGTTCCCATAAGGGGTTTTGCTAGTAGCTGCCACGCTTGGGAGGTAAGTTGGCAACCGCAGTTAGGCTTTGATAATGTTTTAAGAGGGATGCTAACTTTAATACTTATATATTTTTAATACTGATATTCATTTAAAGCTTTCCTATAGGTGAAAGAATTTTTAAAATCAGTTCAGCAGTTTTAGAGTTTATTCATTATAAACAGATAAACTAACAAATCTCCCTTCTATATAATATTAATATAGATAACAGATATTCCTTATTGTTTCCTCCGAAATATTACAATAGTAAACTTACTATAAATATAAATAATTACAAGAAATAATCAAGATGAGAAAACAATGGGCGACCTTATCGCTAAGAGCGATCTCTTCCAGGCAACCTTTGGATGGAGAGGAGTAATTATAAACAATTTGGTGGGAGGCACGATGAAAAATTTTGTTAGTTCTAAATATGGGAAATGTGATACATATAATAATATAAATATACTAGTTATATACATATTATATATTATAATAATATAACAATGATCTGTAATGATGTAGATAATATTAATATAGATAAATATGAGTGTATATGCCGATAGAGGTCGCCATAAATGAACGTATGTCCACCAAATAGGCAATGTAGTGAAAAAGAGCAAAATTTAAAGTACTTATAATTGGTGAGCTTGTGTGAATGGATCGATGAATGTTGAAAAGGCGAAAGAGGTCTCTTTGCATTAGGGTATTTATCGTGCCTTTATTTCCGTATACCCCAATGATCCCATTGAGCATGAAGTACGTATATGAGTATGTAACTATACATGTTTTTTCAGAGAGAGACTTTGTACAAAAGTCGTTTGCTTGGGTACCTCTGTCCCATTCGTGTTTCAACCATGAAGCAGTTGTGTGGTACTGCTCGTGTCTATAGGCGACGGTTACCACTTTCCATCAAGTGGGCCGTCAGCTTGTTTGCCATTCTAAGTTGTATAAAAAAAATGTGCAATTCGAATATAAATGAAATTTAGAACATTACATTAACTCTTTGCTACATATTAATAAATCATCGTCATCATCATATCAGCCTTTAACTGTCCACTGTTGAACATAAACCTCCACTTTAGGGGGTTTTGCCAGTAATTGGTATACTTGATAGACAGACTGACAATGGCAGTTAGGTTTTAGAGATGTATTAAAAGGGACGCCTATCTCTCGCCCTCCCTTACTCGGCTTTTACGACACCTACGAGAAAGGAAGGGGTGGCCTATTCTATGCCAGGACCACAATAATAAGTAACAATAAATTTTATAAACTAATTATTCAATTAGTCTTGTCTATCCAAATATCAATTTTTTATTTATTAATTTTAATTCTTTATTGTACACATTAATTGTTTATAAAATATGACAGAGGTAATCAAATGTACAAAGGCGAGCTTAACTCTATCAGAGTTCTCTTCCAGCAAACCAAAAGTGGAAAGGAGCATCAATTAATATATTTGTATATTAATATATTTTGTTTCTTCTCTTAATTATTTATTGTTATGGTTAGCGATTAGTAACAGACATTCAAAAAAAAAATACACGTGAATCTAGGAAACAGCTTCTGGAACAACACAAATTTTAATTTCAAATCTTTATTGTGTAAAAATAGAGTAATTATTCGAATAGAATAATTGTAATTTCAATTTACTCACCTCAAATTTAATGAATTAGTTATTACGCTGCTGTTGTTGACAATTTCACTTATTTTAAATTGCTAAAAATTCGTGCCCTTTTCACTTTGGGTTGAATAGGTGTGACCCATTTTGACGTCACTACTTGTAAATGTAAATATAGTTAAGTACTCCATTATTCACCATTGGCCTCTCATTTAAACTGTTGTCAGAGTCATAGACAATCAAATCCCAGCAGATAAATTGCAAACGAATCACATCTCTTTAAAATAATACAAAGGTAGGTACTCTTTAAAAATATATATATATATATATATATTCTTTTTAGCTAGTTACAGTTAGCAAGTAAGTTGTTTTTTAGA